GATTCCTTGCGGACCTGCTCCATGATTTTTCCAGGGACTGAGGTGAGGCTGCCTGGCCTGTAGTTCCCCGGATCCTCCTCCTTCCCTTTTTTAAAGATGGGCACTACATTAGCCTTTTTCCAGTTATCCGGGACCTCCTGCAGTAAGTTGTTTAAAAACCCTACAGCACACTTGGAAATCTTCTCACCTAAGTCCTCTATGCTAGTTAATCTTTAGAAATTCTCTGCCTAATGGCAGATGAAATTTGAGATTTTCTTATTCTTTTTTATTGCTTCTCTTTGTGTGTTGTGTACGGGAGGTTGAATGGTTTTTTACATATGCAACTGATGAAGGGTCCATAAATTCTATAGTGCCCCTCTTTCCACTGCTGTCTGGGGTTTGGTAGCAACTCATATGAGATTGGTAATCTGTGGGATAAGATTTTAGCCTAAAGTCGAATGAAGCCTTACTGTAGACCACCCTGGGGGTCCATTCACTTCAACAAGAGCTGCATCTGCCTCCACTAAGGCTGAAATTGACTCTTAGATTATAGAATTGATTCTGGGTGAAATTCATTCTCATGCAGAAAGCTCAACAAAAGCTTGGGAAACCAGTTAAGACCAATTTAAAAGTGACAAGCAAAGGAAATTTTTAAAAATTGCATTTCTTCACTTTTCTGCTTCTTCCTCTATATAATGAAAGCAGGGAAAATATATAAACTTTTCAAAAGAAAAAGAGGAAAACGAGGTGAATTTTAAGAACTTTCCCACCTTTTTTTTTTGGTTGTCTTGGATCATCAGCAAAGATGTCCTTTCCTGAGGCAGTGGGGTTAAATAGGTCTTCACCAAAACAAACAAATGTTTTACACACATGAAACCTAAAATCCCCTCAGTCCATTGCTCAGTTCTTGTTTCTCTAATTCTGCATTTGTCCACTGAGTCCCAGGGACAGGCCTGATCTCGCAACACATCCATGGCAGAGCTGTGAACAAAACCAATGTCTCTTGAATCCCAGTCCTGTTCACACTGGATTCAGAGGACTTAAGCCTTCAGGACTGCTGGCCTCACTCTGCGCTTACACCTCCCTGCAATCACTCCAGATTCACACCAGCATAACTGAGAGCAGAACCAGGCTTTATATGTGTATATTGGCATAGCTCTGTATTTTCCTTTGGCATTAGATCCGGGGCAATGTGTCTTGCTTTGGGAACACTTCCATGGGAGTTGCTTTTAATCCATCCCTTTGCACTGCTTTCTGTGTATTAAAAGGAGCCTCCTTATCAGTGGGCAGGATCTCATGAACACATTTCGGAATCCTCTCCATTTCAGAGCTCTCTTCTTTTACAGGAACCTTTACAGCTATGCACATTGACTCCCCTCTTATTATTATCCAGCAATTGCTTTTGTTTAAGGCAGTTTTTTGTAGAGTCAAAACCCCAGAGAAAAGTGAAATATCCTGCTTGGCAGTTCTGTTCTGTTGTACGGGTTTTGCCCCTGCTCTGCTATTGCCATTGTCTAATGTGTAGTCTCAGGTACATTCCTGCTTTACTTAGCCGTTTCTGTGGCTGTGCAGCTGGTGCTATAAAATCCTATTTCCATTTAACCCTGGCTGCTTGTTTTTACCAGCTGTATGGTTCCTTCTTGCTGGTGATAATATTTTTCTCCTCTTATCGTTCCACAGGGCTCTGGGTTCCCCACCGGCTCCCCGGTTACTTCTCCCCCGGGATCTACTCCGGTTACTGGGCACAAGCGGATGATCATTCCCAACCAGCCGCCTCTCACTGCCACCAAGAAATCTACTGCCAAGGCACCGGTCCAACCTGGTGCCCCGCCCGCCCCAGTCCCCGTGACTCCTGTTGGTACACTAAAACCTCAGCCGCAACCAGTTCCAGCTTCTTATATCACCGCGTCCACTCCCACCCGCCCGGCGTTCAACGTACAGGTGAAAACAGCCCAGCCCAGCCCTCACTTCCAGCCACCTGGCCCACCGCCCGTTCAGTACGGGCTGGGTCCAAGCCAATCCTACGCTCCTCAGCCAGCCCGGCCCCCGGGGCCAGCACAGTATGTTCCATCTCAGCCTCGTGGTCCTGAGTATGGCTACGCTCCCCAGCCTGCACGTCCTTCAGAGCCTGCTTATGGCTTTGCACCTTCACAGGGGCGGTATCAAGATCTTTACTACCCTGCAGGCCCTGGATATGGAGGAAGAAATGGCTCGGAACCATCCTATGTGCCACAAAACACCTGGAAGCCCGAGCCGGCCTATCCCACAGCTAACACCATGGCCCAAAATCCAGCTGGGCCATACCAACCGCCCAGCACAAAGAAGACCTACATTACGGATCCGGTGTTAGCACCTCCTCCACCACCCATGCAGCCAAAGGTAAGAGAGAGACAGCCACTCTTAGGCTTGGTTTTGCCCATGTGTGGTTTTTCAGTCTCGTTAGTTATTGAACGGCGCTCGTCGAGATGCCAGCGCACTGGTTTGAAGACACGTTCGCTGTTTTTTCAGTCATGTTAAGCTCACTGTATTGCGCTAATGGGATTGCCAACTTCATCTTTGTGTCCTGTCGAGGTAGGGCTACAGAGGGCACAGAAAGCCGCCAAGTCTGGTGTTAAAGTTCTGGGGTCTTAGAAATTCCACCTTTCCTGTGGGGTGACCGTGTCTCATTTCAGGAATGCAGTGATATTCCACAGAATTCACCCTGCAGGGCAGAGGAATTTTAAGCTCTGAAACTTTAAAACTCATCATCCCAATTAATAGGACATGTAATTATGTGGCCTCATGATGCCCTGATCTTTCAGACCTGCTTCTCCTAAGATTGATTAAGAGATTACTGACAAAGACTTGGGATAATGTACACCGTTGGGTCTGTTTTGTTCTCCAGTTACCAGGGGGGAAATTATTCCTGTCCATGTGCTTAAAGCTGGGGGGGGGGGGGGAAACAGTGTTGTTCATTGAATGTGGTTTAAGTGATTCTGTGCATCATTGCTTAAAGATCCTTACCCCTGAAACCACACACAAATGTTTTCCTACACCAAGCTTGGCGACCGTGAAAAGCTTCCGTGTGTGCTGCCCATCCGTTCCAACCAGTGTCAAAGCAAAGGAGCCCTTCAAAGAGGCCTCTTAATGTGAAATTGACTAGACAAAGAAAGTTAAACTCACCCATCTGGTTTCACTGCTTAGACCTTGATCCAGAAACCAGGTCTACACAAGCAGAGTCCCATTTCCTTCAAAAGCTGTTCCTGTGGATACAGGGCCTGGCTGCGCAGATCCAGGTTCAGGATTGAGGCCTTGGTGAGGTGTTTGAAAACCGCGTCAGCGGTGAAAAGTAAATACATTTGTAAAATCTAAGCTGCTGTTGCCACAGGTAAGAGATAGTTATTCATGTACGTGGAGCCAAATTCCACCCTCCGTTGTAAGTATGCATTTGGATTTTATCTTGGCGGTGTGCTATTAATACGAGTGCTCTAACCTCCCCACAACGGGAGCGGTGCCTGTGTGCGTTCATTGCTTTGCGCTCGCCGAGGCCTGAAGACAACTGGGCTCAAATCCCGCGCCAATGAAAGCATCGCTGTCAAAGGCTACCTCGATCTGCCACAGTGCAGAACTTGTCTCTAGCCTTTTAATGCTGAGAGAAGAATGCTAAATAGTTACAAAACAAAACACAAAAAGCTCCTCCCATCGACCTTCCCCTCGCTCGGTCCACCCAGCCCTTTTTAGTAGCCAGATTTCATTCCAGTTTCCTGAATTCAGGAACTATTCAAAGCAGGGAAGCTCAGTGTTTCTCAAGTCAGGATAGACAAAACAACAAATAAAAGTCCTTGAAATACAGTCTGCTGGCAACCTTACTAATTAACTTTTTGTCTTCCGCAGAGCTGTGAGCACAGGAGGGGAGGGGACTCTGTATATGTCACATGTCTGATATTAGGTAGAGCTGATGTTGTTTTTTTAAAAGTATTGTACTGCTTGGGCCAGATCCGTCGCTGGCGTAAATCGGTGCGACTCCATTGAAGTCAGTGGGATGACATCCGTTTACATCAGCTAAGGAGCTGGCCCAAGCAGTATAGAAGAACCATAGCGCAGTGTCTCTATGGAAGCATAACTCGCTTCTCACCACGGACAGCGTGAGTCTTGCAGCCATATTTGCAATACAAAGCTGGAAGGGACAAGACAATTTAGCTTAAGTTTATATTTATAATGTAAAATCATTTCTTCTGCAAAACATCCTTTCCACTTATTGATACATAAATCCCTTTGGGAATTCCATTTCCTTCGTAGCCTGCCGAAGGCACGTTGCTATCCAGTTTCAGCATGGGCACGACCGCTATCCTGAATAGTCGTGGAGGAAGCTGCGCATTACTTATTAGTAAGAAGCAGGGTAGAATTGATGGAGATCTCCCAGGGTAATAGGAAGTGTCCAGTAAATACACCCACCCCTTTGGAATGTTTTGTCATTGGCCATAAAAGCGTATTGTTTCACTAGACTGCATCTCCTCTCTCTCCTTTCGCAATCTGGGTTATTAGGATGAACCAACTTTTTGGAATGAGTTCATATCAAGGAAAAGTTGCTGAAAATGTTACAGCCATGACATCCATTGGAGAAATCGCTGTAGCTGGTTTTACTAGATGCACAAGGGATCTTAGCTTGTTTACTCTCCATACACTTGTATGGCACATTTGTTTGAGGTTTGTTTATAGAGATCTTTAATTGAGTAAAATGAGTATTAACCTAGGGTAAGAAACAGACATTAATTAATGTCTCGTAAAATGGAATAAGACCTGTCGGAATCTTACTCCTTTCAAGGGAATGACCCAGACGATCTGAGGGCATAAAATCATTTTTAAATGTTATTAATACTAGTGGATTCTTAATATAATGTACTTGCAAAACGAAAGGGGTGTGGTAACAAATCCAGCGACACCCAGAAGTGCGTGGTGTTCGGCTCAGCTGTACACCATGGCCTAGAACTAGAACGGACTGAAATTTTTCATTCAAAATGTGTCGTTGTTTTTTTGATGAAAACGGCTTTTGGTTTGCAACATGCCTGGGAAGAGGATCACGGCCGGTGGTTCTGTCTCTGACAGCCTGAAGCAGGAGCAGGCAATGTGCCACGTGCTAATCATGTTGAAGTTGCGGTTGATCCAAAGCAAATCTAGCTTGGTATGGGAACAAACGGAAAACCCAAGACTGTGCTGTTCCTTCAAGCCCACGCAGAACAATGAGTTGCACTTAGGAAGTGAAAATGCCAAATGAGTCGGATCAGTCCAAGTGTGTGTTGAATTGTTTTGTTGAATTGCCTTTTGTAGCAATTCTGTTAATTTTAATGCCCAAGTCATAATTAGGAAATGAACTAATGAAGCATATGTCCTCATTTAAACCTTAATATTTCACTAGGGAATTCCTGCCTCTCTCTCTCTAATCTGCTTCATATGTCGTGGGGATATCCATATGATCAGTTGCAGAACCATGTGATTAAAATGTGGAACCTTGTGACAAATACCATTTATCACATGATCCTCCATTTTTCCCACTGCATTCTGCCCCCTCCTACGTAGAGTCAGATTCGAAAACATCCCTGTAGGTAACTCCACCCCACTCATAGGTCACGGAACAGAAGACCATAATGAGTCACTGACCACTGATCAGCCACAGGCCACTAATATTTTGGCACAAAACTATCCGCAGTGGAAAACACAAGCAGTAGCAGACAGTCTCCAGCACAGAGAGTCCTTTGAAGCTTATGCCTTGGTCATATCAGAAACAAAGAAATCCCACCACTTTGCCACTGTAGCCGCCAACGGACATCCACACCGTACTATTCCAGGCCACTAATCTCCTTGTTAAACCGTAATGCCTTCGCTCAGTTCCATAGCCCAGCACCTCGTGCTATGATGAACTATCCGCCTGTTTCTCAGAGACTTTCTGCCACCTAGACAGCCTCTTGGGACACCAGCAACCATATAGCAGACCCAGGCCCAGGAATGTTACACCTTGCCTTTCCAAATCTGGCTCTTTCACACAACTGTAAGTCCTGGAAGCGCTGCAGGGAAACCAACTCACCCCCTGCGGCTCTGATCCAGGCTATTCTTGGCTAGTGAAAGTCAGTCCTGGCTCCTACTAACTGAGACTGTGAATACTTCCTTCAAGAAGACAAGCTACTTCCTGCCTAAAGCACTGTCTAATCTAGTCAGTACTTAAGGAAACCTTTGGACAACACAGCCAACCTCTCCACGTACCGCCCAGTATCTAACCTTACATACACAGGCAAGCTAATGGAAAAGCTCATCAAAGGTTATCTCCTGCTCCACCTTAGTGCAGCCAGTACCTTGCACTCCTCCTGGTCAAGCGTCAAATGAGGACGCAGAGGAGGGATGGCAGGAAGACATGAATTAAGATCATAGAAGATTAGAGTTGGAAGAGAACTCAGGAGGTCATCTAGTCCAACCCCCTGTTCAAAGCAGGACCAACCCCAACAAAATCATCCCAGTCAGGGCTTTGTCAAGCTGGGCCTTAAAAACCTCTAAGGAAGGAGATTCCACCACCTCCCTAGGTAACCCATTCCAGCGCTTCACCACCCTCCTAGTGAAATAGTTTTGCCTAATATCCAACCTAGACCTCCCCCACTTCAACTTGAAACCATTGCTTCTTGTTATGTCATCTGCCACTACTGAGAATAGCCGAGCTCCATCCTCTTTGGAATCCCCCTTCAGATAGTTGAAGGCTGCTATCAAATCCCCCCTCACTCTTCTCTTCTGCAGACTAAATAAGCCCAGTTCCCTCAGCCTCTCCTCATAAGTCATGTGCCCCAGCCCCCTAATCATTTTTGTTGCCCTCTGCTGGACTCTCTCCAATTTGTCCACATCCTTTCTGTAGCGGGGGCCCCAAAATTGTACGCAATACTCCAGATGTGGCCTCACCAGTGTTGAATAGAGGGGAAGAATCACTTCCCTCGATCTGCTGGCAGTGCTCCTACTAATACAGCCCAATATGCTGTTAGCCTTCTTGTCAACAAGGACACACTGTTGACTCATATCCAGCTTCTCATCCACTGTAATCCCCAGGTCCTTTTCTGCAGAACTGCTGCTTAGCCAGTCGGTCCCCAGCCTGTAGCAATGCATGGGATTCTTCTGTCCTAAGTGCAGGACTCTGCACCTGTCCTACTTGAACCTCATCAGATTTCTTTTAGCCCAATCCTCCAGTTTGTCCAGGTCACTCTGGACCCTATCCCTACCCTCCAGCATATCTACCTTTCCCCCCAGCTTAGTGTCATCCACAAACTTGCTGAGGGTACAATTCATCCCATCATCCAGCTCATTAATGAAGATGTTGAACAAAACCAGCCCCAGGACCGACCCCTGGGGCACGCTGCTTGATACCA